TATATATATTCTTCGTTTGCTGGCTGGGGTGGGGGAGTACGGGAAGTTTGAGAGGGATTCGGATAAGTGTAAGACTTTTTAATTTTTTTGGCTGGGCAGTTTAAATGTCTTTCAAACCAAGTCTGTTTTTTCTGTTGGTATAAACGATTGTGCCCTTTCTGATCGTTAACTAGAGCACAGATTAGCAATTCAACATTTAACTGCCACTGGGAAAATCAGGGTATTTCACCAAACAGTTTCCTGTCCGACCGCAGACAGGGTGTTCAAGTGGGCTATTACACATCCATGGCCCACAGCACCGGAGCTCCCCAGGACTGTGTGCTTAGCTCCCTACTCTATGCTACACACATACTGTATCTGCACCCTTGCTCACCACAGCAACACCACAGGCAATTTTGCAGAAAGGTGGTGGGGCTCATCAATTGGGGGATGAGTTCACCTACAGAAATGAGCTACAGCAACTGACTGCTTGGTGCAGGGAGAAAAGTCTGCTCCATATTCTACTTCATCATACCAAGTGACTCCTCTGAGTTTTAGTTCTTTATTAGCAGTTGATAGCAACAGATTGAAAGAAGCCAGTTCTAGCTTAAGTAAACTGATTTTGAAGGTAAAATAAAATCTTAAGATGACCTATGCTAAGACTTTGTAACAGAAAATGTCTTTGAATGGCTGGAGGGTCCAGCTACCCACTGATGAGCTGAAAAGGGAACAAGACACACATACAGATAATACACACACTGACACAAACTCTTTCACACACAAACACACGTTTGATTAAATGCACACTCTCTTGCATGCTCAAACACCCACTCTTCCACTCCCACACACATTCTAATACAGCAGACTTTTTTTACTTTGATTCTTTAGCTTTGTTGTGCTAAATGCTTTTCATTCAAGCATGCCAGGCCACACAATGCAGGATCTAAGTTTWCTTTCTAATGGCAAATGGAAATGAGATTACCATATCTGCAAAGAGGTATATGTTCTAGATGTGTTTTTCGACACCTCAAAGGTGTGACAAATGGCCCCAAATTTCTCTACATAAGTGAAATGTGCACATCCATAGAGGGATCATGCTAAACCAAAGGTTTGCAGCTTCCTAAAACTCCCTGCGGGGCTCAAAATAAATATATAGTTGGTCTGAATGAATGCCCTTTGGTCAACTTTGGTGAGTTAAACATTTTAGCAAAAGCAGGAGACAGCTGATAGTGGCCAGACATTTGGACCAACAACAGCAATCTGGCCTTTTGTTGAGCTTAGGCAAACATTCGGGCCCACCATGTCTCTTCAGTAAGACCTAAGCATTTTAGGGAGAGAAAAGGGCATCAATGAGTGTCACCTCATATGTCAGCAGCATGGGTCATCCAGGAAAGTTACTCTCAAGTCAAGTTGTGGCCATTCAATGGTACCTACTGCAACGGCATATGCTGGTCTTTGTCAAGAGATACAGAGAGCTTTATCTGGTATAAAACACGGAGCATATTTGAACAACCAGGAAGCGGTGTGTCAATTTTATACCTGAGTCAATCTCCACAAGAATAGTTAGTACGTTTTTAGTGTTTTGGTTGTTGCTCTGTTTTGATTTAAATTTACCCTGAGCTCTCGATTCTGCAAAAATGTCATCCACTGTTTGACAAATATCCAGCTTACACCTTGCACATGCATGTTAGTGATTTCTAGTGAGTTGCTCAGTGCACTCCACATTCAAAAGCTCAACCATACTGTAGGATGAGTTTCATGTTCATTTCAAATCATAAACATTTGAACTGAGTTTTGGGGGAGTTGTTTTTTAAAAAAAGAAAAGAAAAGAAAAGAAAAAAAGCAATCTCTGTATATTCAAGACATAGCATTTGGTGCGGCATATCAGTTTAGTGGTTTTTTGCGAAGCAGCTTAATTGATCCCATCGAGTCCTCAAGCACCTGCAGCACCTAAGCTTGCAAAAATAATAATAACAAAACAAAACAAAACAAAAAAAACTAAAGAAGCCATAACACTTATTGTCATCATCATCATCATCAATCATGATTGCAATCCAACCCTTCCCTTCCCAAACCAGCACCCAACCACCTCCCCATGGCTGCCCCCTGCCCTGCCCTGCCCTGGACTGCGCTTACACAGAGCGGCTAGAGAGGGGTGCCGCGTGCTGTCAGACCTACCGTAGACAGAGAAGTCCACCACAGTCAAGATACACGGAGCACACATAAGACACAAAGCAGGAAGGAGGAGAGCAGAGACAAAGGAAGAGATTGAACTCACAGCAGACACCAAAGGAAGGGTCATCACAGAAAATGYAGTAAGCTGCACTGTGAGGGGTGAGGAAAATGACAGGAGGAGGGAGAAGCCTCCTCATCAGCACAACTGCAACTTGTGCAGCATAATCATTTAAAATATTTTACTTTCAGATGTGCTTTTAATGCTCTTGTGGAATTAAGATTATATATAAAACACACTTCAGAGAAATAAACAGGCACCTTTTTGCAAACCTATATTTTTTAACAATGACTTTTATGATTGCAAGAAAAGCAGTCATTAAAAAGGAGTAAATATATAAAAAGGCTGTCATTTTTCACTCAAGCCCCAAAGCACAAGTGACAGAAAGAGCAACAATAACACTCATGACGGATACAATAAATCACAAAAATAGATAAAATAAATCCAAATAAACAAAAAATACATTGGATATAGAAGTGATTAACACCTGTGGGGGAAAAATACTATTGACTTAATTTGAAAAACATCAAAGCAACCTACAAGCTTTGTTAGCATCTAATAAACAACCAAAACAAATTTCAAAAAGGTTTTTAAAGTGATCTTTTGAAATAGGGTTCTTTGAAAAGGTTGATATTTCAATATAACTCCAGGTAAACTCAGTTTGGAAAAACAGGCTTTAGTTTTGACTGGATTTACGAGCTAACAGCTACTCCACAAAAAGCTAAAATCAAAACAGATTGCTGCTATCTTAAAATGACTCCAGTCTCACAAATTTCTCGCAAATGTTATTTTATAAACCTTTACATCTCCATTGCACTGCTCATTACATAGAATTCTGTCTTTGGGGGACTTCTACAGCAGCAGCTAGCTGTAGCACTTCTGTAGCAGTTTGGGAAACTTCCAGCATAAAATTTAAAGAAATAATTTGACAGGCCAACAGTGAAATATGAAACTGGCAGCAGCGCAAACTTCACGTAAAATTGATGTTTCATTACCAGCTAACACAGTTTTTTTTCTTTGTTGAAGGTAGCGCAACTCTCTCTGCCGCTGCATGATCTGTACACCCGTTCCCCCATGTTTGTCATGTGTGTCTTCTTGAATGGGTGTTCTTACTGTTTGTACAGCACCTTGTGAATTTATTTCTGTGAAAGGCGCTATATAAATAAAATTTTACTTACTTACTTTACTTACTTACTTACTTTACTTACTTACTTACTTACTAGCACATTTTTTGAATTGGAGTTGTTTTAATATGCTAGCCATCAACTTAGTCTTTTCTTGGATTATCCATTAGTTTGTAATATGGTCAGAATTAAACTTTTTCTCCAAAAGGTGATTGTTTAGCTATCCGAACCCTTACCCTTTCAAAGAGACCTGCTTCAAAAAGCCTGATCTTTTGCTGTGTTTTCTCATGCTACTGGACTGAAATACAATAAATTAGCTGAGTGAAATGTGCGACCCCTGGTTCAGCATGAACTTCACATAAAACTTGATGACATTACCTAGCAGGTTAATGAACAGGTCACCGTTAAATGAGATTTGCTTCTACGCACTGTGGGTTTTCACAGAGTTGACGTAACTTCGCACAGTGAAACACACCTCTCCTCCTTTCAAGTTCTTCATCCCCATGTCACCCTTCCCCTTCTTGCCCTTCTTGTTCTTCTTCTTCTTGCAGCAGCACTTCTTGATTATGCAGAAGCAACACGTTAGGATCAGTAACGCTGCGACCACCGCAATGGCGATGATGGCCCAGGATGGCACTGAGGAGAGCACACAAACCAGGACAAAAATGGCTCATCCGCTCTCAGGAAAAACAATTGAAGTCAATACTTTGATGTTAGACCAAACAATCATTTAGCTCGCTTCATGTCATGTCCTGTGCCACATATATTTAGTGAGAGGTGGTAAGTTAGCAATTAGACTGGATGATAATTAGATTTCTCCACCATTAGACAGACCATCCAGTGATCAATACCAAATAAAGACATTATGGGGCTGATGATGCCTGCAGCAAAAGAGAAAATCTAATTCCCAAATAATTCTTCTGAGTCACGTCAATAAGAGATGGCTGATTGAAACAGCTTGGGGTTTTAGCCAGGCCACTCACATGGGATCTTGTCGATTTCATTCAGGAACTTGTTTTTGATCTCGTCAAAGGCATCGTTCTTGTTGGCTGGTTCGGTGGTGTTCTCGGCAGAGACTAATGCGACAGGGGCCGGAGTCACACTCAACTCGCTGGCCCCTGTCGGCTTAGCAGCAACCATGGGCGTTGTCTGGTGCTTGAACAAGTTAAACTTCATCACTTAGGCAGTACACACAGTTTCTGGAAAAGAAAAAAAAAGAAAAAGACAGCAGGAAAACACACGGATTAAGAAAGGCCTGACCAATCAGAGATTTATACTTGCAAAAACTGCAGCATTTTCAAGGACAGTATTGACAGTTTCAAAGAAATTGTGTAAATGTGCAAATGTGAGGTTTTGTTCAAAAGAATAAAGCTGGTTTATTAAGACTGAACATTGTAGTGTAAAAGAAAGTAATGAATAAGATTTGTATATCATCAGACTGCCTGGTGACAAACAGGAAAAATACGACCTATGTGTTCAACTTGAGGTGACTCGAGCTCTCATCTGCCAGCTTTTGCTTCTACCCTTACTCTAGCTCTCCCTTGCTCTGCCTGCTTCCACCAAACTGAGAAAGATCGGTAGAAATCCCACTTCAGCTTGATAGCCCTTTCACCCTAGCTGTCTACCACTGAGTTGAGGGGTTGCCACAGCAACAAGCATCCACAAACTTACAATGGCAGTTTTATTCAGCAGCTTCAGTATTAGGGGTAGACAACAGGGTCCACTTAGAAACAGTGTGACTTTCCTCACTTCAGACGACAGAGACCCTTTGGAACACGTGCATCAGAACACTTTAACAAACCCAAACAAAACGTCCAGGTGCCAAAAGCTAGTCTAATATCCTCCTCTGCTGCCTGATCCAACTCAACACCAGGTGGTGATCGGATTAAACCACAGCTCCTCTCTTCACTCAAGAGACTAAAACAAAAGGTGGTGCTACAATTACAGAATCAATAAATAGGAGAGCCCTGTTACCAAGCACATTTAAAGAGATAGTTCTGTTTTTTTTTTAAGTGACAGAGTATTTTTACATAGTCAGTCTTTCACCTGCAGCAGACAGAAGTCAGAGCAATCTGAGGTTGAAAAAGATCTTATAACCATGTCAAGCTAATAGCTACAAAGGATAGACGTTATGCAAAAGGAAAAAAAATCCACCATCTCCAACAATATAAGTTCAACAAATTTCTAGTAGTTTGAATGAATGTTTATCAAAGAGATAGTCTGGTCATGTTTGAAGTAATGTTTTGTTAGATTGTTATAAGTAATTAGTACCATATCAGCTATGACAGTAGTAATAAAGTACAGAGTATAGAGAAAAGAGCAGAAACCAAACAGGYTAGGCTAATAACTAGCTAAGCAAGGACTCGTTTTTTCCATTGCTTTTCAGGCTTATAGAACAACTCTTTCTATTTAGATATAAAGGATATTAAAATGATGACACTGTTGTCTCTTTTCTCAACAGAGCATCTTTGTTATAACACAAATATTTGTGTGCTAAGCTGAGATTGTATGTATATATGCCGACAGTGCTGAAATATCAGTCCATCTGATCAGCACGTCTAATCCAAAGGAGGGCAATCCTGGTCCTCGAGGGCCACAACCCTGCATGTTTTACTTGTTTCTCTCTTCCATCACAACTGATTTGAATGAATGGGTGATTATCAGGCTGCTGTAGAACTTGGATGAGGTAATTCAGTGACTGAATCACGTGTGTTGGAGCAGGTAAAAAACGTAAAACATGCAGGGCTGCGGCCCTAGAAGACCAGGATTGCCCACCCCGGTCTAGTCAGTCTAAATGTTTACTCATCCCCCAACGGACAGTTACATTCAACAGTGTCAGGGAAACCAACATTTATAGAGCTATGAAATACCTAATGCAGTTTGCTCAGATTGGTAGGAAAGTGTTGAGCTCAGTTTTCTTTAAGTAGCAGTATTTACTCAACCTGCTGATTCCAAAGACCTTCTCCCTGATTCTTTAAACTGAGCTCACTCTGAGTGCAGCGCTAAACAAACTGAGCATAGTTACTCCACAGATAGAATGGGCAGTGATTTTTTTCACAAGCAGAGACGTATTTAAAGGCACACTTTTTAAAATGTGTGTGTTTGTTGTTTATTTGTTCTGTTAGCAGCTGTACGTAGCATGTATCTAACAGTGGCAGCTATGCGACAATTTGGATCCTGAGTACCACGGTGCATTTTCGGATGACCTGTTATTTTAATGACAATGTGAAAAATTAATGTTTAAATCAGTGTTTCTCTTTTAACGGATTATTGTTGTGCTGACACTTGTTCTATGAGTAAAGGATGAAATAAACACACATTGTGAAATGCCTGAATACTGTGAACCACAACAAAGTCCCATTTCACAGTTTGCAGACTCAGTATTTCACAATTATTTTCGTGGAAGCCAACTAGTTCCCCCCAATTTTGCAGAAGCTGGAGATACTAGCACAGTCAGTACTTTGAGGAGTTCTGTATTTTTATGATATGTATTGGGAGCATATTTAGGCTTTAAACTCTAAATGTCAGTATTTATAGGGTTCTTCAGACCACATACGCATTTGTGGTTTTTTATTTCACAATTTGCCAGTGCTCTAAGATCATAATTTCATGGGTTTACTGTTCAATCACGGTTGGTGTGGTTTGAACCCATAATGCAGGCAGGACTCAGGAATTATMAAAAATAATTGATTTATTAAAAAACTAAAAATTCTGACGAGGCAGACAAAGCTGAACTGGAAACTCAGAGAAACAAACCAGGAAGACCGTGCTGGAATGACATGACATGACATGCTTTATGCCTTAATGACATGTAAACTGTCACAGAGGGATTTTATACAATAAAGCAAACGAAACAACTGACAGCTAGGGCAAAACGAAACAAGGCACAGGTGGAAGTGGGCGTGGCAGAACAGAGCAGCAGAATATGGAGGAAATAAGTCAAACTAAACAGGAAACAAAGGCTGAGAACACAGAGTGGAGACATTAAAGTTAAACTGTAAAACTTAAAACATGAAGACTCAAACCCACAAGATCTGAAAACACAAAGAATCATTAAACAATAAATAAAAAATACAGAGAGGAGAGGGGGTCTTCAAATTTGAAGAGCGCCTTTGCTTGAAATGCCCACCTTGGTTTTTACAATGTTTTCCTTTAAACAGAAAGAACAGTTCTCTCAGAACGCCTTGGAGAACCAGTCTTTGGTCTTGCAACTGCGTCAGAGGGAGCAGATTTCTTCACTCCTCGAGGAGTATAAATCCAGCTTTAGTCAGCTTTGTTGATACTTTAATTTTCTGTTTTCAGTTGATTGTTATTACTTTGGGGTTTGAATACTATTTTGTATTGGGGCAGACAGAAAAAAAGGTTGAGCACTGCTGTCTGTCACGTATAAAATTACCAAAGAAATGATTATCAGTTCTAAATACATCAATTTGATCTGATTCCATGTTCAAGTTACTACAGTAGTTACTGGTCAAGAGAGGTGTTTAGCCATTGAAAGAAATAAAGTGAACAACTGCAAACCGTCCAGCGGTGGTGTTTCCAGCAGGCCAAACAAATGTTCAATCAGAGCTCTTATCGGTTCCAGAAATCACAGAGTGACAAGCGCAGCTGAAAGCAGCCTGCCATCAGACTGATGAGTGATCGAGCGAGACTCCGATTCAGAAAGCAGAGACAGATGACAAACATAATGCGAGAGGGCTTGTGCTCTTGATTTGATTTCAGTCATGGGGGGTGAGGGGCTTGGCGTGGGGCGGTGGTAGTTGGGGGGTACAGGAATCTCCCATTTCGCAAGCGCCAATTCTCTAAGTTGCCGCCAGAGATTCTGTTTCTATTTATTGCTGCTTATAAATAATTCAAAACGAGGCTGACAGCAGGCTTATATTATTCAGGGAGGCCTCAGACTGGTTTATACATTTTTAAAAATGTGACACTAAAAGAACTCGTGCTGCAGATATCCACAGCCTCAAATGCTTTGTGTAGATATACTGAAACGAGATTTAGCATCTTTAAAATTTAGAAAATTGTTTTAAACAAATGTTCCCTCATCACACACTCTTAGAACTGATTGAAATTGGTTTGGTTAAACAGAAATATATTCCCCTTTTTTCTCCTTTGCTTTAGATTCTATGACARTGGCTTGTGTCAGAGGAAATGTCCATTTTGTCCTGCTTGTCCCTCACACCAGGCCAAACCAGACCAACCAAATTAAAGCACGCTCTGTCTCGTCCATCAAGGACAAGGAGGCTAGAGAGAGAAGACAAAGATATAAACTATTACTTATCTATTTTTTTTTCAACAATGTTACTGGACACCTTCAAGTTATTCAAAGTAAAATAAAGTTAATTGATGAACAAGTCACGCAAACTGAATGATCATTCAGGTTGTTTGTCTGCCCTCTGAATATGTTTCTTAAAAAAAAACCTAATTCTTACCTAAAGGACTGAACAGTTTTCAGTAACAAATCAATGCTAGTCAGAGGTGTTTATGACGACGTGAAACATTCGTTCCAAAAGTTCAAGCTGAACAGAAAGCTAAACTTCCATATTTGCTCCTGAATTTGAACTGGCCAAAAAATAAAATAAAATTGACATAATGTATATATGTATATAAAAGAAAAAGTGGGAGAAAGTGCAAAAAAAAACTTGAAGGATGTGAACTTCTCCTGAGCTAAATTAATTTTCTTAACCCAAAGGCAGCAAGAGGGTTAAACAAAAGATATTTGCATCTGGTTGAATGTTTTGTTCTGTAACTTACTTAAAATTATTTTTAATATTTTTACTTTTTTCTGATTGTTTGAGTTTCTCGTTAAGAAAAAAATGCTCAGAGTCATGACTAAATAATGTAACAGTAATGTGTGCTTTATAAAATCATCTCTGGACAAGAGAAAACTTTTGGTTACAGCTGATGTCAGAGGAAAAGCCCAAGGATCTACAATATCATGATCGTTTCTCTTTAAGTGACGCTGGATTTTCATCCCAAACTTCACAGTRGTTCATGAAGAAGCTGAAGAAGCGTGTTGTTGTTTTTTTCTTTTTTCAAAGAACCTTTCCTTCCTTTGTTTCCTGAGAGCCATGCTACTAGTGGAACCAAAACCACACGGGATTGAAAACACTGCATAGTTTTAAATTTATTCGTTACCATTGAAGCCTTTGAGCAAGCCTTTATATAAAACCTTGGTTACTGGGATTCATGTGTGTTA